GAATTTCAAAGGTTTTTTAGTTTTATCATTATCTACATTTTCTAAAACCACATGGAAGTGGAATTCTCTCCAACAAAGTAGGACAAGTGGGTAAAAAATAAAACAAAGCTTTTAAAAAGACATTTTCTAGAGAACAAAGCCCTTCTTGGGTTTCTGCTCTATACATAAAGTTTTGAACTTGCTGACACTCAAAAATATGTCAGAGTTGCTTATTAAAGACAACACAATACGATGTATTGGGTTACAATTTAGTGCAATACACTAATAAAATTGTGTCTTACAATTAAGTGTAGCAGCTTACCAATCTCTTCATGAAATCAAGGTACGCAGCCAGTTGGAAAAGGACTGCTGGTAAACACTAATATGAAACTTTAACTTTGGATAACTGGATGGTCACCAGTGTTAGAATTACTTCCCTCATACAGGATCTGGTGCCCAGCATTCCAGAGTGTTTTGTGATCAAGTCATACAGTTTTTACAAATGTAGAACCCAAGAGCTTTCCTTCAATTGTTTATCACCTGTCTTCCCTGCCTGGGCAGTGTTTGATACAGCATAAATCTAAAGTCACACTTTTTGTGAGTGGTACCGAATCAGAGAATGCAATATAGCTATGTTGATTCTGAATCCTGGCACTCAATCAGGACAGCACAGTGTTTCCTAAAGTGGAAGTGATTGGGATCTGACATTATGAAAGAACCTCCCTTTCCATTCCAATCCAAACTTTCTGTTTAAATCAAGAAGAAAGTTGTAGTGTTGTAGAAATGCTTTTAATCTTGATTTTGAACAAATAGCAGGTCTGGGCTCTTCTGCAGGCACCAACAGTTTTGTTTACCATCAACAGAAGGTATCTTATGGCTACGCTATATTTGAAATAGCAAAATACAGTTTATGTAAAAGAATGATTGGATTCAAACAAAAATACTGAGTGTATGATAGTCTATGTAATAGCAAAAGGAGGCAGACAAATCCCTAGGCAGATAGGGGCAGGTCCCCAGTGAAACCCCACCCCGCAAACCAAAGACAGTTTAAAGCCTGAAAGCCAAGCTACAAGTCTCGGACAGATCCACGGACCAGATTGAGAACCTCTTACCACTTGGCACACTTCCCTCTGATTAATCCCCACCCTTCACCTACTTTACAGACACCTACTTTTCCCTAATTAGTTTTTTATACTGTCATGCCTACCTTTGAAGTGGTGCCTTTGTTTTAGCTTTTTGCATACTCATAAACCAATCAGCATACACTTCCCCATTCTGAGCTCACAAAAGCCCTGGCCTCAGCCACACCGAGGAACTGCCCACCTTTGGGTGGGGGCAGGGGCGTACCTGACTTCAGGTAGGGGCCGCCTACTTAGGGCTCTCTCTGGTGAGAATTGGTTCACTGCTCAATAAAACTCATCTCTGCCCTTCTCCCCTTCGGTTGTCAGCCTAACCTCATTATTCCTGGATGTGGGACAAGAAACTGGGACCTGCTAAACAGCAGGTACAGCAAATAGAGCTATAACCCTGTAGTACTTGGTTCCACTGGTGGCGCAATGGGAGAGGAAGCTGCTGGCTGCCACACATCCCCATTCGCTGGGCTGTGGACAGTAGGACTAAAAGAGCTGTTAACACATCCGTATTTGCATGGCATCTCCAAGTGTTCGGGCATCACTGTGTTCCCCTTGTCTGGACACTGGAGTCTGCTGCCAGAGTCACTTACCATACGCCCGGGCCAGTCACAAGCCTTGCATGGAGCCTATACCTGGGCCAGCACTTGGAGTAGCCAGCTGGGCCTCTAGGCTCTCTCACTCACATACACCCTCCTCACGGGCTGAGCATGCAGTCATGCTGGCCACAGGATGTGGGCCAGGATGAAAGCCAAACGCAGCCTGCCAGGCTGAGTGGGCAGAACACTTCCTGTGGCCAGCTCAGGGCCGGAGGTCTCCAGCTGGCAAAGCAGCTCTAGAAAAATCCTGCATCGTATGTGTTAAGGGAACAAAACAAACTGGGAAAAAGACAGGTGAGTGATTGAAATTTGGCAAACACTGCACTAACATGAAAAACCTAAAGAATATTTCCTGCCAAGTGCTAGCTCAGGATACTGTTAGCGCTTTTATTAGGGGCTTTAAAACACGTTGTGGATATGAAAGGGTACTCAGAGCTGCTAGTATTTCCTCTCTCCCCACTATACCAGACCCAGCTGGGGCGCTTCTCTTTCACCTCCAGCAGCTCCTTCTCATGGAGCTTAAAGACTATCAGTTGGGCCTGGGACCAGGCTCCTCAGATGAGTCCCCTTATGGCCAGTGATAGGCAAACATGGGCCCTTGTCTCAAACCCAGCCCTCGCTAGGGAGTAAATGTGCACTTGGGCAGGTTAGTTAACTGCTAAGCCTCAGTTTGTTAGTTTGTAAAATGGATATCATGCTTACCCCCCAGGCTTCATTCATTCAACAACTTACTGGGCAGCTATTATGTGCCAAAAACTGAGAATGAAGCGTTAATGATATACAGTTTCTACCTTAGCAGAGCATAATTTCAGAGCAGAAGAGACAGACACACACATAGAAACTGTAATAGCCAAGATGACTAGACATTCATTACATTTTATGAGACAAAAAACAGGGGTGGCCTTACTCTGGAACATGCTGAAGAAGTGATATATAAATGAGACCCAGAGAGCCAAAAGGAACCTGCTGTCTAAATGATGGTGTAAAAAGCATTCCAAGCAGAGGGAACCCAGCCTGCAGAGGTGAGAGAGGTCATAAAAAACGACTTAGGCAAGGCAGGCAGTGGTTCACGATAAAGAGGGTGCGGAAGAAAACTTGCGAAAGACATTGGATTTTATGCTAAGAACAATGGGGCCCCATGAGGGCTTTAAGAAGAAGGGAAGTCCAATTTGTTCTTTTTTCTGGAGACAAGAGTCTTACTCTGTCACTGAGGCTGGAGTTCAACGGCTAGAACTTGGCTCACTGCAAACTCCGCCTCCTAGGTTCAAGCAATTCTCCTGCCTCAGCCTCCCGAGGAACTGGGATTACAGGCATCCACTATCATGCTCAGCTAATTTTTGTAGAAATGGGGTTTCGTCATGTTGGCCAGGCTGGTCTTGAACTCCTAACCTCAAGTGATCTGCCCCCTCTGTCTCCCAAAGTGCTGGGATTACAGGCGTGAGCCACCGCGCCCCGCCGTCGATTTGCCTTTTTAATACAAATGTGTGCTAAAACTCTGTAGAGAATGGTTTGGAGACAAAGAAGTGAGAGGGCTCTTGCTGACGGCGTTGGGGACCGATTAGGAACGTGAGGAAGTGATGACAGCAGCTGCTAACTTGACTGCATGCTCACCTGGAGCTAGGCACGCTTCGAAGCGCCTCATCGGGTGTCAACTCGCTTCACCCTCAGGACAACTCTGTACTACGGTGACGGTCCCCCTATACTGGGAAACCGACCACAGAAAGCTTAACCGCCTGGCACGTGGTGGGCGCTTTCCTACTCACTGTCTGGGACCACGCACCTGTAAGCTTAGGTTGGGGAATAAGAACCTGAGCAGGGGCCCCTCGCGTCGCGCCCGGGGAAGACTCGGGTCCCCGCGGCGCCAGTGCGCGCCCCCTGAAGCGCTGTGATCAGAGGAAACCGAGGCCCCGGGGCCGAGGCGACCCTGTCCCGTCTTCCTGGCCGCGCCATTTCCTCGCGTTCCGTTTCCAGCCTTGCCGGACTCCAGCAGCCCGCGCACCACGACCGGACCTGGAGCAGGATCCTGGGCCAAACCGCAGCCCGCGAGAAACCGCGCCTAGTCCGCGCCAGCGGTCGCACTGCACCTACCTGAGGCGCGCAGAACACACACTCGCCTAGGATCCCGCCCCACCGGCGACTATCGCGCATGCGCGCAGTTCAAACCCTACGGGCAGCAGCGCTTGCCAGAGGCCCGGCCCCTTCCCCTTCCGGGAACCCATTGCTGGGTCCTAAAGCCCGCCGGGTGTTTACCCAGGACGGGGTGGGGCCTACCTAGCTCTCGGCTCACTTTCTGGGGGCTTCTCAAAGCGAGAGGGAAACCAGAAAGCCGTCCCCTAACTTCTGTCTAGTTAACTATTAGCAAGACTCACCCTCTTTATAGGATTATCATGGCTCAGGCTCCCAGGGCTCCATGCAGCGGAGTTTAAAGTGGAGAGAGGATAGGCTTAGGTTAAAGGCAGCTGCAAGGAGACCTGTGTCCTGGGTGGGGATGGGTGCAGAGTTTAAAATCGGCTGTAAAATAAAAAGTTAAATGAGTTCCCATTGGACTCAGAACCTCGAATGTCTGTTTCTACTTAGAAACAGTTGCGTTCTTTAAAAATCTTCTGAGAAACGGAACTCTCCCCACATTCCTTGCCTTTAATAAAGATGTTTGCTATGAAATTTGGGCTTGGTGCTGTTTATGGTATTTATTATTGGAATGTTTTTCAACGTAGGCATCTCTTCCAGAGGATTGAGTGAAATACTTTTGTGTGAACATAACAGCTCGTTTCGTTCATTGAAGACCTACTTTGTGCTAGGCACAGTGCAAGGTGCTGGGGTTGTCTGGAGGGCAGAACACACGTAGTAGCTATTACCCTGGGTGCTCGATCCCAATGACTTGCTGATCTGAACGAGAATCCTGGACTTGGCTCTTCGTTTGGTTCTTTTTATGCTTGTGTACACTCTTTTTGTCTGCATATAATGTTTAGCATAGTGCCATAGATCTAAATGATTAAAAGTAACTTATTGCAAGATGGAGGGAGAGAATGAAGGAAATCCCGAACCAGGACACATTGAACCAGCACCTAAAAGCGCTTGGATTTACAGCCGCGCGCAAGGAGTGAACGGAACAGGGAAGCCGGTGGAGCCAAAGTGCCGGGGGCAGGCTGGGAGCTTCACCACTCCGGGCGGCTCCAAGGAAACCTGATGAAACAAAGGCTCTGGCCAATAGCCCTGCGGGATTAACGCGAGTGGCTGGCAGGTTGTCCAATGGGAGGAGACGTTGGAGTTGCGCGGTGAAGTTCGGCTTCCTGAGCCGCGGTGGGCGTGGCCGTGGTAGGCTGCAAGCTAGGCCAGGGCAGCGTGGCGGGTGGTTGGGTTGCTCTGGTTCGGTTGTTGCTGTCGCGATGTTCTTCTCCGAGGCTGTGGCCAGGTCGCGGACGTGGGAAACCAGTCCCTCGGAACACAAGATGTGGGTGAAAGTAGGTGTCCAGAGGGCGACTGAGTCTCTGACTTTAGCTTGGCCCGGGCCTGTCGCTTCTTCCTCGCCGTTCTCACTCTGCCCAGTCGTACAGACCAGACCTGGGCTGCCGGTCCAAAGGGTCGTGGTTACGGAGCTACAGGGCTCCTGGCTCCCGGTCCAGGACTACGGCTACTTCCAACTTCCTTCTCCTTTCCGTTTACGTAGTCTATTAATGGTAATCTCGAATCTTCATCTCTCCTCCCGCTTTTCAAAACCAGCGCCTTTGCCTCACCTTCGTAACTCCAGGACTGAATTTTGGGTAGAATTTATCTCAGTGGTCTAAATGAATTAATTTGCGTCAGCCTAGCGGTTAACTCATTTGCACTTTCTTGAGGGAAATTTCAGCCCATCTTTAAGATTTCTTGAGAGTTAATATTGGCACAAGGAAATTCCGTTTTCAAACTCTACGGCTGGGCCAAGTTTTAGATTTTCGAGGTCCAAACTATGTATCAACTAGTAATAAAAATAAGAAACCGTTTCTGTCTCATTAACTAAAGCTATTCAATGTTCTTCAGGTATTTAAAGCATGTGATGAAGATCACAAAGGATATCTCAGCAGAGAGGACTTTAAAGTTGCTGTTGTAATGCTGTTTGGGTATAAGCCCTCCAAGGTACAGCTTTCTTATATATTTGGGATGGGGTAGACGATCAATAGCGAATGGATCCTAAGAAAAGTTCACGGGGCTAGCTTAGGATGTTTATAAAGTCAATCTCTGCTTTATAAGCAATTTCAGAGGTATTTCCAGTGCTGAATTTTAGTTTCCTCTTAACATCTCAAACCAGAGATGAAGTAGAAGTCTATATACCACTGGAGCCTACGCAAGCCTGTCTCACCACCAGGCTGCTAATAACTATAATAAATACAGGATGCTAGAGAGGTACCAAGAGGCAAGGTGGAGTGGGGCGTGTCGGCAACAGAAGAAATTTACATGGGACATGACACAGAGTCTCTTAAGCTTTACTTCTGTTGTTTTGTTTATAAAATATATCCACAGTCAAAAAATTAAAACAGTGCAGAAAGGTATAAAGTTGAACATAAAATCCCCTCCCTGCCTACAAGAGGGTCCCACTTGTAGGGGATTACCATTATTAACAGTTTTTTGAGTAGTTGTGAAATTTTCTATCCATGACAAACATGAATGCATAATCTTTTATTGAAAGCATAAATGGCTAAATATTGTGCCTACTTTAACTTGCTTTTCTCATTTAACAGTGTATCAACCTAAAAGCACATACCTTAACACATTTTAAAATATAGTTGCATATTCTATTTACCCAGGTTCCTGTCTCAGGTTATTTAGGTTTTTTTATTGTTATTATTCCTACAAACATTGCGGCAATGATACACGTATTTCTGTCCTTGTGGCTGCATATCTGTGGAAAAAGTTCCTGGAAGCATAATTGCTGGGTCATGGGATACGTACATTTAGAATTTTGTTAGATATTGCTCTCCAGAAAAGTTGCACCAATTCACCAATAATGATAATTGAGCTGAGCCTCCATGAACCTCCTACTTTAGTAGGACAAGTCTTCTGTTCACCTGTCTTTATGCTCTTCTGCTTTCCTGTTACATTTATTCTAGAGAAAGTGCCCTTCTTGTTAAGCTGGAATTAGAGTCAAGATATTGTCTAGTTTCAAGAAACTGAACTGCAACCATCAGGCAAAGGGAGCACTCAGGGCTCAGCCTGGAATGCCAACTGTCACTCTCATTAGGCCAGACAGCCTGGTGATTAATTATGGCCCAGCTGTTCCTCATGAGTGGGCTCTACCTTTCTGCCAGATTGAAAGCCCAGCAAAGCCAGGGACCCTGTGATGTCATGCTTCCCCACCCTATTCGCGTCAACAGAACAAATGTACTGTGAAGTTGTGATGCAATATGTAAATCTTAATATATTCTCTTGACCCAAGTCGGTTAAACAACCCAGGTGGGCTCAGGATGGCTCAACTATGAGGGGATGCTTAGTTACTGTGAATCTTATTACGGAGCTCAAAGAAGCAGTCAGGGCTGACTCTTAGAAATTGCAGCTCTCCTGTTAACCTGCAATCATTTCAGCTGGAAGCAGGTCAGCTAAATAGAATCAGTCTGTGAAGCATTGTATTTAACTTGGATTCACCTGAAATGATAACTGGTCTCATTTTGTCTTTATCACTCTTGAGTCTATATGGTTTCAATTTTAGAATGAGGAATTTAATGACAGCTACAGTTATGTAACTTATTGTACATACGCTCCATGAAATTTAACAGATTTTACTTTTCATACTGGGGTGAAGTTTTCTATTTTATTTTTTAAGCAAATGAACTATTTACTAACCACAGGTCACTAATCAGTATTTATTTATAGTATATCACCTATACACTTTGTCATTTGTACAATGAACTTTTCTTACACAAGTGACAATGTATAATTTCTGTGAAATTCAACAGGTTTTTATACTAGTTTGAGGTTTGGAGTTAATTTTTGAATATCACTTTTGAGCAATTGAAATATTTACTGACTGCTGATCATGAAGAAGTAAAATACTTACATAATAAATCACTTATACATTCATGCAGTTGTTTACATAATGAAATTTATTTATTATTTGAGATAGAGTCTTGCACTGTCACCCAGGCTAGAGTGCAGTGGTGTGATCTAGGCTCACTGCAACCTCCACCTTCTACGTTCAAGCAATTCTGCCTCAGCCTCCCGAGTGGCTGGGACTACGGATGCACGCCACCACACCTGGTTTTGTTTTTTTTTGTATTTTTAGTATAGTCGGGGTTTCACCATGTTGGCCAGGCTGGTCTCCAACTCCTGACCTCAAGTGATCCACCCACCTCAGCCTCCCAAAGTTCTAGGATTACAGGCATGAGCCACCGTGCCCACCCATACAGAGTGAAATTTATTAAGTGTTCCTCTTTAATAAAAGGAACACTTGCTAGTTGCTAGTGATGTAAAGATGAATGAAGCACAGTCTCTACTTCAAAGCAGTTGAGTTTAATGTGGAGAGATATGCAACTGTGACAGATGCCAAGAAAGAGAAGAGATTGAAAAACAAAGTGAAGAGTACAAAGAAGCAAGGCCTAATTCTAGTAGTGACGATAACAGTCCGGGTGGTCATTTAGACTAGAGAAGATAGACTACTCTGATAAGTATCTAGGAGCACTTTGTGAGTGGTGGGACAAGTTAGGCCCGGATGCAGTGGTGGTAAGAGTGACATGACCACCAGGAGTGAAGGGATAGCGATGCCACCAACAAAGAGAAAATTTAAGAGTAGATTCAGAGGAAGTTAGTGAGTTTCGATGGGAATACATTGAGTTTGAGATAGCTATGGGCATTCCAGGTGCATTTACTTGTTAAATACTGTGCTAGCTATTCAGGTTATGGTGGTGAGAATCTGCTGTTAGATCTGCCTCCCTGAGATGTAGGAATCTGAAATTGGGTGGAGAGGGTAGGGCTGGAGATAGTCTTGGGGCTCCTTGGTTTCCAGGTGGCTGCTCAAAACATGAGGCTGTATGACATTGCCCAGGAAGAGTATGCAGAATAAGAAGAGTCGTGGCCTTAGAACGTTAGGGAATACCAACATTTAAGGGGAGGCAGGGGACTTGAAGAAAATGGCATGGGAACCATTTGGCAGGGACAAGAGGAACCAGGAAAATGCAGGGAATCCAAGACTGGCAAGAGTTTGAGACTAGAAGTGGAGAAATTATGTCAGATGCTGCCAAGGCTCTAATACTCCAATGTTTATAACACCCTGGTAACAGCGTGGTAAAGGGCTTTTATTTTAACATTTAATGAAAGCAAGTACTCATGCTTTCTATACAGTGTTTAAAGTCTCAAATGTTTAAAAATGCATAGAGGAAAAATGCTGATTAGTCTAAAATGATAACAGTGGTTTTCATTGGATGGCTGATTTTTCAATTTTCTTCATAATTTTTTGTGTTTTCTACATCAATCGTGGTACTTTTATAATCAGGAAAAAAAGAAATTTAAAAATAGAGCCACCGAGCCCATTATAACACTTGTTTTTATTTGTCTAAAGTAGAAAGGCTGCCTGTTAGATTATATTATATATGGGACAGCCAAATTGATTTTCTGTACTTAAATTCTTTTGGTCAATGGAATGAAGTTTTGGGGGCCATTAGACGCTAGCAGATTAGTGTCTGCTATTTTATAGATGTTGATAGAAAAGCAAAATGACTGTTATAGCTGTCGTGTATCATCAATTGTCTGCTTGGGTCAACAAACTTGGTTTCTCATAAAAATAGATCCTTATTCCCACCCGAAGGTTTAAGAACTTGCACTGTGAAAACATTTGATAAAATTACATGTTCTGTTATTTTTTCCTCTTTTCTAGATAGAAGTGGATTCTGTGATGTCTTCAATAAATCCAAATACTTCTGGTAATATGAAAGTTAATGTTAATTTTTAGTACCTTATTTAGACACTGATATGGTTTGGCTGTGTCCCCACTCCAATCTCATCTTGAATTCCCATGTGTTGTGGGAGGGACCTGGTGGAAGGCAATTGCATCCTGGGGGCGGGTTTTTCCCCTGCTGTTCTTGTGATACTGAATACGTTTCATGAGATCTGATGGCTTTATAAGGGGGGGTGGGCGGGTTCCCTGCATAAGCTCTCTCTCTGCCTGCTGCCATCCATGTAAGACATGACTTGCTTTTCCTTGCCTTCTGCCATGATTGTGAGGCTTCCCCAGCCACGTGGAACTGAAGTCTGTTAAACCTCTTTCTTTTGTGAATTGCCCAGTCTTGGATATGTCTTTATCAGTAGCATGAAAATGGACCAATACAGACACTTACAAAATGACAATTAAAAAGAGAAACTGTATAGCATTATATTTAAGCACATCTTTGTTTTGTTTCTCATCCAAAAGAAAGGTTTTGGTTGTTTTTATTTTTTTTTAAATTTTTAATTTTTGTAGCTGTATATGTATATATATAGAGAGAGGCAGTACATGACATGTTTTGATATAGGCATGTAATGTGTAATAATCACATCATGGGAAATGAGATAACTATTCCCTCGAACATTTATTCTTTGTGTTACAAACCAGTTACACTCTTTATTTTAAAATGTATAACTATTTTGACTATAGTCACCCTGCTGTGCTACCAATACTAATACCTGGTATTTGATAGCACATCAGGGTCCTATTAAATAATCAAATCATGGAGAATGGAGTATCCATCCTATCAGGCAGTTATCTTTCATGTTATCGAGAATCCAATTATACTCTTTTGGTAATTTTTTTTTTTTTTTTTTTGAGACAGAGTTTCGCTCTTGTTACCCAGGCTGGAGTGCAATGGCGCGATCTCGGCTCACCGCAACCTCCGTCTCCTGGGTTCAGGCAATTCTCCTGCCTCAGCCTCCTGAGTAGCTGGGATTACAGGCACGCACCACCATGCCCAGCTAATTTTTTGTGGTTTTAATAGAGACGGGGTTTCACCATGTTGACCAGGATGGTCTCGATCTCTTGACCTCGTGATCCACCCGCCTCGGCCTCCCAAAGTGCTGGGATTACAGGCTTGAGCCACCGCGCCCGGCTCTTTTGGTTATTTTTTAATGTACAATTAAGTTATTATAGTTACCATTGCTGTACTATCAAATACTAGGTCTTACTCCTTTTTTTTTTTTTTAATGCATCCATTAACCATCAGCACCTCTCCCCAACATTCCCACTACCCTTCCCTGCCTCTGGTAACCATCCTTCTACTTTTATGTCCGTGAGTGCAGTTGTCTTGATTTTTAGATCCCATAAGTGAGAACATGCAGTGTTTGACTTTCTGTGCCTTATTTCGCTTAACATAGTGACCTCCCATTTCCATCTATGTTGCTGCAAATGACAGGATCTATTTCTTTTTTACTGCTGAATAGTACTCCATTGTGTATATGTAGCACATTTTCTTTATCCATTCATCTGTCGACGGACACTGAGGCTTCCAAATCTTGCCTATTGTGAACAGTGCTGCAACAAGCAGTAATGGAGAGTACAGATCTCTCTTCTATATGCTAATTTCCTTTCTTTTGGGTATATACCCAGCAGTGGGATTGCTGGATTATATGGTACCTCTTTTTTTTAGTTTTTTAGGAATCTCCAAGTGGTTCTCCATAGTGATTGTACTAATTTGCGTGCTTACCAGCAGTTTATGAGGGCTCTCCCTTCTCCACATCCTTGCCAGCATTTGTTATTGCCTGTCTTTTGGATAAAAGCCATTTTAACTGGGGTGAGATGATATTATTGTAGTTTTGATTGCATTTCTCTGATCAATGATACTGAGTGCCTTTTTATATGCCTGTTCGCCATTTGTATGTCTTCTTTAAATTTTGATTATTTATAAATAGGTTTATCACAGGGAAATTTTAAACTGTTGAAGTGCATAAAGAAAAAATATCACTCATAATTTTAACATTCAGAAAATGATACAAGGTTTTCTGACTTGTGCAGCTGGATGAATGGACATGGCACCTACTGAAAAGGGAAGATGGCAGGCAGGCAGAGGGGTGGGGGTGGGGGTGGGCAATACTTAAGAGTCAGGGAGACTGAGTTCAATTTTGAATATGTTAAGTTTGAGAAGTGTCAGCCTACTATGTCAAAGCAATCAGACTATGAATTTCAGAAGTAAGTCCTGGGCTGAAGATATGTGGGAGACATCAATCTGTAGATAGCTTTTAAAATCATGAGAATGGATGAGACCACCTAGAGAGATAGAGTAGATTGAAAATGTTAAGAACTCTAGCCAGCGGAAGTCAGATAGAAGATGAAGAAATGGCAAAGGAGACTTAGGAGTGACAGAGGGGCAAGAGTAAAATCGAGTGTTTGATCAGAAGCCAAGAGAAGTAGATATTTTAATGAGGAAGGTATGGTCAGCACTATCAAATGCTCCTGAGTGGTGAGGTAGCCTGATGAGTGTACGTTGGAGTTTGCCACCTGGAGGTGTTTGGTGACTTTAGCAAGAGGCATTTCAAAGTGTAGTGAGGGCAGAGTGGGCTGAAGGCAAGTGGAAAGTGATGATAAAGTGTGACAATGTGAGTAGATGAGTCTTTAATTACGTCCAGAGTGGCTGTGGATCAAGAGACGTTTTGTTTGCTTATTATTATTATTATTACTATTTAAATGGAAGAACATGTTTCCAAGCTTAGCGGAATGATCTAGTGAAGAGGAGGAAAGAAGATTAGAGAGAGGGAGGGAAAGAGACCTATTGTGTAAGGGGATAGGATCCAGAGCGTGTTGGATTGGCTTTTTAAAGATTGCCTTTTTCTGAATAATGTAAAGCTTACAAAAGTTCAAAATAAAATAGTACAGAGAATAGCTTACTCTCTGTATGAGGTATACCTTTTACGTAGATTGACATTGTTAACATTTTACCCCATCTTCCTTCTCCATTGCACTTTCTGCCACCACGCCCTTCTCTTCTGTACTCAACATAACTGCAATATGCTTGTCATGTTCATAAATATATGTTGATAACTGTATTTCATCTGATTTACCATCTATATTCCAATTTTGTCAGTTAATCTAATAACATCTTTAATAGTATCCTTCCTTTTTTAATATGTTTAAAAAATTACAAGTGTATCTAGGAGAAAAAGACACATATGAATAGGAACAAAGATAAGAATGACAGCAGTAGGCTGGTGGTGGTGACTATTACCTGTAATCCCAGCACTTTGGGAGGCCAAGGCAGGAGGAATGCTAGATGCCAAAATTTCAAAACCAGCCTGGTCAACATAATATGAGACACTGTCTCTACAAAAAAACAAAAAAATTAGCCAGGCATGATGGCACATGCCTATAATCCTAGCTACCTGGGAAGCTGAGGCAGGAGGATCCCTTGAGGAGAGGAGTTTGAGGCTGCACTTAGCCATTATCATACCACTGCACCCCAGCCTGGGCAACAGAGTGAGATCTCATCTCTTAAAAAAAAAATTCAAAAGAAGGAAAAAAATGGGAACAAAAGATAGATGGAAAGAGACAAATAGAAAACAAGTAACAAGATGGTAGAATTAAATCCAATCATTAATGTTTTAGTTAGATGTAAATGATCTCAACATCCCCATTGAAAGGCAGATACGGTTAAATTAAATAATAGAAACTAACTCTGTATTGCCTAGAAGCCCATCTTAAATATAAAGGAACAAAAAGATTAGAAATATATACTGTACTGAATACTAACCAAAGAATGCCAGAGTGAGCATATAAATATCAGATGAGGTAAACGTCAGAAGAAGGAATATTACCAGGGATAAAAAGAGTCAGTTCATTAAGGGAATTAAACATTTATGCCCCTGGCCAAGTGCCGTGACTCAAGTCTATTAATTCCAGCACTTTGAGATGCCAAGGCAGGCGGATCACTTGAGGCCAGGAGTTTGAGACCAACCGTGGTGAAACCCCGTCTTTATGAAAAAAATACAAAAAAATTAGCCAGATATGGTGCCACATGCTGGTAATCCCAGCTACTCAGGAGCCTGAGGCACAAGAATCATTTGAACCCAGAAGGTGGAGGTTGCTGTGAGCCCAGATTGCACCATGGCACTGCAGCCTGGGTGATAGAGCAAGACACTGTCTCAAAAAA